GGTGACCACACATTACTATTATGAGTATCTCTTATAATGAGTATGGACTTATGATATGGCACAACTGTAGAGAAATCCCTTACAGATGTATGAAAGCATGATAAATTGCATGTCGTTTACAAAAGTGAGCTGGTATCTTAGACGTTGTCCTTTATATGTTCTGATATGTTAGTCGTTTCAGATGAAAAAACCATAAACTTACTGAACATATTCGCTAATTAGTGCCATATATTTTAAAGAAAAGCATGATAGGCACCTGAAGGGGTAGAAAAAGATATAGGTAAACACTAGAGACATGCATCATCTATTTTGACTTAAAAGATGTCTACATCGTTTCACGAAGTTTGTTTTTAGATATTTTGTTGCATATTTATTTAGATTGTGATGTCGATTAACTAGTGTTACCTTAGTAGGTATTTTTCAAAGATAAGATAAGATGTCATGTTCAGTATGGAAATTAAGTAATGGCGTGACATTACTTCCAAAGTTTCAAAATGTATGCAATATTTAAAAGTATTTGATCAATAATCAAATAAGTAAAATACACCTTAATTACACAAAAACTAAAAACTTGTTGATAAAAAAAACATTGTTATTATTATTTTGTAACGGTGTTATCAATTAGATAGATGGATTTATTAAAATCTGTAAGAAAATATTGAATTTATTTTTAAACAACCCAAAAATCTTAACTGACGGGTTAAAGAAAGAACACTCAAAAAAGTAAGAGAACCCATCCGAAGGAAAATTCACCAAAATAGCAGTTATGCGGTAAAAAGAAATCAAATAATAACCACTTTTCATGATTATCAACAAATACTCACAAATACCACAAAATGGCTTAGCAAATATGTTGATTCATCTTTTTGATAACGTCTCAGATGGTAGACCATACACTGTGGCAAAGTCGCACCCGATCCCACAATCCTGTAAAAAAAAATTAACTAACAAACAAACCCTAATTTTACAAAGTCCCATCGACTTGGTAGGCCCAAAGAACACCGTAAGGCTAACACCATGTGCTAGCGGCCACAAAACCGACATTCCATCCAGAGATGGAAACATGATGAGATCCACAAACCGTAAATAGACATAGAAAGTTACATTTTATCAAATTAAATCCATGATAATAAAAAACAATTATCTTTAAATTTATATCATCTATTTTATACGTTCTACAACAACCATCCTCAATTCTTAATCATACTCATCGTATGAAGGTTGTTTTGCATGATTTATGGAAATTTTTATCTTAAAGGAAAAGTCAATTTTTGATTCTGATATTAGGGACCCACAATTTTAAAAAACAACGAAGACAAGACAAAATGTTTAGGAGACCAAAGATGCATGCTTTCCTCCTTTAATTCGTTACAAATAAATTAATATTGAGTAAATTACAGATTTGGTCCATATGGTTATATTAGAATTTTGGATTGGATCCCCTAAACAAATTAATTACAAATTTGGTCACTGTAGTTTTGATTTTGTTGCAGATTAGATTCCTCCTTCAAATTCTGTTAGTATGGGGTCTAATAGTTTGGAGCCATTAGACCTCATACATTGAAATTTGTTTTCTTTAAAATCTGCACATTCCTTTGCCACTTTTTAAAATCTGCAAACTCTTTAGAATTTGCACTCTTTAAGATTTGTACATTTCTTTGCAATTCTTTAAATATGCACTATTTAAAAACTTCATATTCCTCTACAATTCTTTAGAATATGCACATTCGTTTGCAGTTCTTTAAAATATGCACTCTTTGAAATCTGCATATTCCACCTCATTAAAATCAACATCTTTCTATTCTACTTTTGGAATCATAGTGGGTTTCGTCGAAGAAGATGAACAAAATTGGAAGGGATCGTTGTTGAGGATAGACACAAGAGATCTTGGATTATTGGGTGCATTAGTGAATGTGATTAGAAGCAGAGAATCGAAGAGTTTTTGATTTAGGCTTTTGGCCTCTTTAATATCAGATGAGAAGGAAAGCTTTTTTTTATTGAAATTTAAATTTTTTAAAATGACAAATATACCCTTCGTATGGGGAGCACGTGAGGGGTCTAATAGCTCCAAACTAACAAAGTTTTGAAGGAGGGACCCAATCTACAACAAAATAAAAACTACAATGACCAAATCTATTATTAGTTTGTTTGGGGGATCCAATCCAAATTTCTAATATAACCACTGGGACCGAATCTGTAAGTTACTCATTAATATTCCTTGTGAAGAATAATATTCCCATCTATAAATAAAATATCTATAAGAAAAAGTTAAAAATATTATTGATTTAATATGAATGCTCTATTATTTACTATCATATGTATCGAGATAGAGGGGAGAAAGTTTCAAATGCAAACCTTTTAATTAACACAAAGCAGTGAACCACACAAATTTATGGAAATGATCAGAGCTTATTTATTATGATATGAATATTCATGAAAAATGATCAATTTCATTCATTATGTTAATGTTTTAGCTCAAGAAACAATCGAGATATTCATGAAACCAAATATTCATTAGATTAAAATTGAAAATTGAAATTGGTATGCATGGTTTGTACTAATTAGAGGGTTTATATTTGAAGGGTTGAGTTCATGTGAGAATGAAAACTATAGCGAATGGTAAGAAGAGATATCTTTCACTGGATCAACCATAGTTGAAGATCAATATTAGTAAGATGCACTGAGATGCATCAGATCGATTCTTGTATCAAACAAAATTCATGGGGTTGGGTGAAAATAAAAAGGATCAAGGGTCCAGATCCCTTTATAAATGACTAGGTGAATAATTTTTACAGTTTTCTATTTTGCATGTTTTAATGTTGTGTAGAAAGTCTTCTAATCTAATTAGAAATAACTGACCATGTTTAGCCAGTTCATATACAAGATATCAATTAATCATGCCAAATTGCATATATGTATGTTATGTCTGTAGGATGCATAGCTGCTACATAACCGAACTCTTCAGCATGCATACACTTTTATAAGCTTTTATTAGAGTTTTATTTATCGTCAAGTTTGAAAATCCCATTTTGATAAGCCGATTAACGTGACAAGTTGTTGTTGTACTTGAAGTTATAAACTTGCTAAACATTACAGTGACCAGTCAAAAACGTAAGGATGCGTGGTAAAGGTCACAATTACCTCTTATATCATTTATGTTAATGAGTTTGAATATTGTATTCCAACGAGTTTGACATGTTTGGTATTGTAATCGTTGTTCAAATAGTTATAATGTTTTAACTTTTTTCACTGTAATTTTTGATGAATGGACCTTCAATAAATTTTTTTAATGATATTCCTGATAACACAAACGATTGCAATGAAAATATACCAAATATAAATGAGTACCCTAAAAAAGTTTCAATTAAATTGTATAGAGAGGACGGGACAAAAAGGGAGTAATATGGGATTTCTTAATGATTCTAACAGATATTTTTTAGAAGGCAGTAAAGTTTATCATGTAAAAAGGTTAATTAGAATACAGATCAAGTCAAAGCGAGCTGTGGAGGCCAAACGAAGCAAAAATAAGATCGAAGAAAATGAAAGGTTACCGTCCAGGTGTCTGCTCGCTTTCTCCTTGGCTTCAAAGGATTATGTCAAGCGTCTGTTTGAGCTACTACTTATTTAGTTTGGGATCACCAAAATAAGGTTATTTTTCAAGGTGAACCTAGAGATAAACAAGAATAGGGCCTTTCAAACCCGTTTCTAGTAATAAAAAAACGGGCCTTCAAAAGTTCAGACCAAGCTTTACGTATGAATTTAAACTTAATAAACATTGTAATTTTTTTTTGAGAAGGAAAGAATTGATAACGTAAATGTTATTATAAGCTATTATAATTATTATCTATACTATCTTATTAAGTAAATTCATCAAGAGTCTTAAAGTCTTAAAATTCTAAATGACCAAGATACTCTTTTCACTTTTTTACTTTTTCACCCCTTCCTCTCCTCACACACACTCACCCCTTCACATACATTCACCTCTCACATTCAACGGATTTTTTTAAAAATTATAACTTTAAATTTACATTTTATATCCCTATAATTAGTTAATTAATTACTTTACGTCTTTTACTTTTAAATTTTTCATTTTAAACATTTATCAAATTAACATACATAATCGTATATCAAATAAAACATGTTTAAAAAGTACATTTTTATTTTAACAAGTTACACCATTATAATCGTCTTGTTAATACCTTCGAAATGAGTCCAATATTGAATAGTTTTTGACTTAATTATATTATTATATATTATATATATTGTGAAAAAATATTTTTAATGATTACGATTTATACTTTTATAGTTATTTATTTATATATATGCTATACATTTTGGGATTAGCCTGTCCAAATTGCACTGTATAATATGTTCTGAATTAATATGTTATTGGGTTTTTTTGAAATATATATATATATACATGTATTAATTCAATCTTAATCTGAGCTTCTGGACAAGAAAGAAGTTAAGCAGTTGAAATTTCATTCTAAAACCCATCTTTTTTGGTCTTTTCATGGCTTATGATCTGTCAAATTTGTAGTTTTCTTTATTGGTTTTGAGTGTTTATCTTAAAACTCAAGTTTTTTGGTTCTTTGCTCTTGATGTAAATCGAACACATTTGTGGAGTCGTTTAAATATGTTGGATTTTAAATATATTGGATTTTAAACTGTCATACAATTTTTTTCATCGATAGTCTGTAATTGGAACCATAACTCTTATTTATTCAAATTGTATTAATATGTAAAGACCAAGTGTAACCTATATCATCGTTAAATCTTGTGTTATAAAACCAGTGAAACTTCAAAATCGTTATAATTCATGGCTCCCGCCGCATTGTGCGGGTACACAACTAGTTTATTTAATTAAAAAGTATAATAATTATTTTTTTAAAAGTAAAAAAGAAAAATAAAAGAAGGGTGGGACCTACCACCGCTACCACAAAACGCCTCCCTCCGTACCGTAGCCGGGGACGAACAGCTGTACCATTTCCATGTAAACGTAACGCAGCCCCCACCTTCCCTTATAAATTCTCCCATCTCTCACTCCTCAACTTCACCTCCATCTTCAACCTCCATTTCCGTTTCCATTACCTCCTTCTCTGTGTCTTACCAGACGCAGAAATCCATCCCATAACGCCATTGTTGCCACTCATGAGACCACCACCTACGTCTCAACAATTACATCACTACTCAATCTTCTTCATCCTTAATTTGTTCATTACCTATATATGTCTATCGAAGTTGTCGTCAAGTTAATGGAGTCGCAGTCACCTCCTTACTACGCGCCACCGCATCATCACGATTCATCTCGCCCCACCATAGGCTTTCCCCTCGGCACCGCTTTGCTTCTGATTGTCGTTTTCAGCCTCAGCGGCATCTTCTCTTGTTGTTACCATTGGGACAAGCTTCGTCACCTTCGAGGTGAATTCTCCGATGCCGATCCTGATTCAGATCACGCCGATTCTAAACCTAAACCTATTTACTCGGTAATTCATTTCATTGCTGATCAGATCTTACATTAATTATTAAGTACTAATTAATCGAGCCTGATAGCCGATTGATCCACAATTAATCCTGTCTATATAAAATTGTTAACGGAATTTGTTGAATTAACTAGTTTTTAATTTGAAACAGGAAAAGAAGCAAGATGAGGATGGAAGTTTGCCGGTGATTATGGCTGGAGATCAGTTTGCGAGGTTCATAGCAATGCCGTGTCCATGTGAACCACCGAGACAGGAAAAAATCACCGTAGAAGAGATTCAGAAACCACCGCATATAGCCATCACGATGTAATAAACTCTTAAATTTTTCACTGTACATACATGATCAATTTTACCTTTATAAAATGGAATTTGTTATTCTTCTTCTCATTTCTATTTTGACTTTTTTGGGGAAGCAATGCATTTGGACTTTTTGCCATGGAATGTGCTGGATAACCAAAGCAGCTGGTCAAACAGTCATAAATTCTAGCAACCCTCAAATTAGCAAGTACATCACCTAAATCAACTTTAAACAATTATATTTCTACTGAACCAACCAGACAGAATCGAATATATAAATAAAAATCATTATCAGTTATATTATTCGAACCCAAATTAGTATTACATGAGCTTTTATTTCAGTTACTTGTTTGATAAATCAAAAAACTACCAAAAAACATTTTGTTTGATCGTTTGTTGGCCACCTAAACGTAGAGATTTGCATGGAGAGATGATGATCGATTCAATTTATGATAAATTTGGTTCATCTTGAGGCCAATTCCAACGCCAACACGTACATAAAATAAAACAAAAATAAATGATTGAATTTTCAATATCAAGTTTCTTTTAATTTCACTCCAACACAAGAAGACAAAAAAATGGTGATTTTCTAATATCAATTCTTTTCCATTCCAACAATATTAATAATATTATATATTTGTTTTTTATTATTATTATATTAAATAATATCTTATTAGCTATAATAAACTAGCAACATTATAAAAATATTATTAAATAATTTAACTTATGATTTTTTAAATATTTTGTGAAAAGATTAAATTATTTTTATATGACATATAATTTAAAACTATGTAATTAATTATAATGTGAATTTAATTATTTGAGAATCTCTTGTATTGTGAGAACTATTATCGAACGTTTTGTTTTTACATGATTTTTTCCAGTTAAAGATATTATTTAATATATTGATTAACATATATTTACTTTACAATGTGTTTGTTTTATATGTATTCAATTAATGTGAAATTTTTTAATTGTATTTTTGTTTCACAAACACATAAAAATGACACATTGTAAAACAAAAACAAATATATGTTAAATTGTTAATCAATATACTAAACTCACGTAGTACATGAAAAAATTTAATGTAAAATAGCACATGATGTACCGGTTCTCAAAATTATTACAATTAGGCATGGTGGTTTGCGCCGCTGATCCGTTAGGGAACCCTTTTCACCAACTCCACTCAGGGCCAAGGATTCCCTATAAAAATGGCTTGATATCGGGTCCGGAAATCCCTGACATGTTGAAAACCGGGGCGGGGTAATGAATTCCCTAACCAAAGTCGAGAACATGGATGAGATAGTGGAATCGGAGCAGGGGATTGCATTCACGGTCCATTCCCGTCATGTTACCATGCCTAATCATAATTTTATAAATTCTTAAATCTCGATCCTAAATAGCATTAATAAAAAAAAATAAAAATGAGGCACTTTGCCATGTCTTACAAGATGACACCAAATTTGGTGGGTCAGCTGTTTAGCATATTGAAAAAAATGGTGTTAAATGTGTAGTACAGTACGAGCTTCCAAATGGCAACCCATATATATATATATATATATATATATATATATATGTGTGTGTGTTTTTGAAATGTGATTAGTGTTGTTTCATTTTGTATGATATACAGAGACATACCACTCCCATGGAGTTTATGGGGAGACATGTCGAGAGGATATATATATATATATATATATTATTTTGTATCTAAAAAGGTTAAAAAAAACTATCACGGACTTTCATAAATTTAACATGTGTTTTTAAATATATTTTAAATAAATAATTTTTTAACAAACAATTATAGAGGAAAATCGAATAATCCAATGGACTTACATATTTTAAAAGATTCAGTTTTACACATTTTTTGAACAAATAAATTCTTACGTTTATAAAATGAAAAAATTATATTATTTATTTCTCAATGTAATTAGATTAGTAGCAAAGTAGAATGAACCAATAAACGAAAATAATATATCATTTTTATTAATTATTCTAAAACACAACTTATACACAATTGCATTAAAAAAATTGTGCCAAAAGGGATACGTTGTAAATACATTTGCACATTCTCCTTACAAAATCTACCAAAAGTTGTATGTTATCCTACTTATAATATACCAAATACTATGCTCATCCTACTAACAAGGGATGCCATTGCAACCATTGAGTCACTTATCAGAGTGAGAGCAGTTGTTGGGAACAGCTGAGTCATGAAAGGGAACCGATTGTTTTCATGCCATCTTTTTTATCTCTTTCATTTTTCGTCAACTTTGAAAGTCATGTAATAATGATTTTCACCACGATAATTGGTTTTCCGTCATTGTAATTCGTCAAAATGACCATTTTGTTCGGTTTCAGTATGTGAAATAATTATATATTAAAAATGTTCAAATATAACAACTCGTCCTTATGGATATAGAAGTAGAAATGCGAGCTCCTTGTAAACTTAAAGTTGTAGGCTACCAATAACTTCTATAAAGATTTCTAAGGTGATTTGGATGTTGTTAGGCTATTTCGTTGTTTTAAGCTATGGGTTGCTACAAACAGTATCAGAGTCAATCAGTTTACCATCAAGATTAAACTCGAAATTTATCTATAATTACTATCATGGTTTTAACAGATTTCGAAATTGTTGGATCAGATTATTGCTTTGGGTTATGTGACGTCGCATAGAATGTTTTCTGGTAAACATCATAATAAAGCTTTCAATAATATGTTTTCGTAACCAAGTACATTCAATTTTGAAAGTAAGACGCCTTGTATGCATGCAATACAGATGTTGTAACGTAAGGATAGATGTGTTTATGTCCTTGCTTCCACTCAATAAATACAATCAATCGATCAAAATGTTTTTATCACTTATATATCAGTTATATTAAATATGTTAGAGATACGTTATTAAATTCATACTAAATTTAACTCTAAAACTATCGTGTTTCCTTTACGCACATACACAAGAGCACCCCGTATTCTCATTATTTGCAAAAAATAAAATATTTAAATACTAAATGACAAAATAATAAAAAGGGGGATTGAAAAAATTTAGGCATTAGATTGCAATTTGAAAAAGAAAAGGTGCATTTCCATTTTTTGTTGCCTACTTTTATTTCTTGACCTAATTTTTCTATCAAATCAAGGAAAGTGATTTTCCCACCCATTTTTCTTTTCTTTTTCTTTTTCATTATTATTTTGAATTTTAATCATTAAATTTCAATTTGATTTTCACTTTTAAAAAAGGAATGATATATTGAATAAACAAGTTGAAACCATCATTGAATTAAAAATCCTCTTTGTGGTTTTGATTATGTCATAAGCATCACTTGATAGTTAAAAGAATAAAAAAAACCCGTTACACTGTATTTATTGATAACTTAAAATTATTAGTTTCAAACTTATAATTGTAAATATTTTAACTGAATTATATAGACAATATATTCTCGTTCTTATTTTGTACAATGGAAGTGGGTGTTTGAGATTATCCATCTCGATGTAATAGAAGTGAAATTGAAGCCATCGTCCCCCAAAAAGTAATGATTGAAGAAAGAAATAAGAGGAATACAGAAAGACAAACTCTGATATCACATCATTAAATTAAATATTGAATATCTGAGAACCGAATATGTAACCAACAATTAATTTGGTGAGGATTGGGTTCCTTTCAAATGGGTCACAAATGAAGATTGATAAGAAATGTCCTCTAAAGGTACCAACACCGTCGTCATCTATAAAAGCTTTACCAATTTTGTTCCCTCATAAAAAGGCAAAATGATAATACTACTTCTTCCTCCTCCACACACCTATACACACACACACACACACATATATATATATATATATAAGCTTAATAAAATGAGAACTAGATAGTTTGTGATAGCTGTGAGGTTCAATATGAGCCAATCTTTTTAGATAATTAATGTTATTTTACTAAAATAAAACAAAGGGTAAATTAGTAAATTTTACAACTTATAAAACCCTAAATGTTAAATCTTTTTTGGAATTTGAAACTCCAAATAAATTTGGCCGGTCGTTTCTTTATCCTCCCTCAGTACCCATTTCCAAAAGCTCCACATGCTCCACCGATCTCAACCATTCTTGGCGCCCGATCTCAACCATTCTCGCCGCCGATCTCAACCATTCTCACCACCGCACAGATCTGGCTTCTGCCATGAACTACGTCGCATCTCAACTAGTTTGATGGCTTCTTCCAATCGAAAAAAAACAATTTAGATCGGTTTCGGTTATATATATAATGTATATTGAGAATTGAATATGTTATCAACTATAAATCATTACTTGATATTGGTTATTTGCTTTTTTATTTTATACTTATTAATGTAAATATTAAATTAATAATTTTATGTTTTATTAAATATAAAGAATTGTAAAATGATTTTTTTAATATATTTTAGTTTGAAAAGAAAGAGGCAAAGTAAAATGGTGGTGGTGGAAACGTACGGATGATAAGCAATGTGAAGGTTGAAGGGAGGTCCGTTCAGGTGCCGTAGGGGTGCACCAAAATCACATGGGATCAGGGCCTACCATACCACAATTGGTCAATCCTTGGTCCACTCCTTTCATACCATTCTCAATACACATTTGTATAAGAATCTCTTTTTTATATAACTCTCAAATTTAGCAAATTAAAAACTTATATAAAAGTTCGTAATAATATTTTTATAAGAATCTTTCTTGTGGTTTGTTATATTTTTTTCAACATCAACTCCCAATTTACCAAATTAAGAAGGAAAAATTATATAAAAAAAAAACCCAATATGTTTTAGTATTTTGAATGATTAAGTCTCTAAACAATATTTTTTTTTTAATAAACAAGTACTTGGACTTTTTAAAACATGTATACTTTTTGAAACATGTTAAATACATCTTATAACGAATACATCCTTAAATTTATAAATCAAACAAATATACCCTTTTGCTACTAAATGATTTTTCACATACTCTATGTAGTAACTTTTTGCTACCACATAGTTTGTCAAACACTACTTTAATTGGCCATGATTCTCAAACCTCTCACAAAATCTGAGCTTCATCAACTTCCAAGGAATATTAGGATCATTCTTGGATATTGGCCACCTTTTTATATAGCCTGCTCTCCAACATCATCATCCCCTTCGTCCATATTGAACTCAACATCGTCAATCATGTTTACACTACAAAGCTTGTTTCATCAACTGTTTTGTTTGACACCATCCTCATTTTCAAGGCCCAAGGATGAATAATTTGACATATGTCCACTTGAATAATCATTTGTATTATAACTAAGGTCATCACTACAATTAGATGCCATCCTCTAAGAAAGAATAGCAAATACTTCATCACAATTCACAAATGAAAATAGAGACCAAATCGTGTGAGAATAGGAGTTAATGTGAGAAAAGTAAGAGATTTGGACCATTGATTGCGCTTCTCACGGAATAGATACCATGCATCTTATCATTGTTGATCTTCAATTAAGATTGATTCGATGATGGAGATCCCTTCTTACCCTTCTCACTGTAATTTTCATTCTCATCCGAACATAATTTTGAAGATAGAACCCGTCATACCTAGTAAACAAGAAATATAATGTAGATGTGTGAAGGATTACTAGAACTATGACCATAAATGCTACTTTTACATGAAATAATATAGCACAATTCGGATTATCAACTTTTAATGTTCCCATATAAGTTCTGCAAGTTTCAAGAAAATAGCGTCCAATGGAAGAAAGATGAGAAATCAAGCCTACGCATGAAGTTCAAACTCAATTTTGATGACACAAATTCAACATACACTTGAGAAATTGAACTTGAGATGGTGGTGACAATGGGCAGGGTTGGGGGCAACGACGACATCATGGTTGACGGCATATGGGATTGAGATTGGGGGTGTGAGATGGGGCCTGGGGGGATGTTGGCTAAGACGAAGGATGAGTTAGGGTTTAGGAAATCTTGGATTTTTTTAATCTCAGTTTTACCTGCTATACTTGTTACAGATTATCTTTTAGGTTTCGAGGGCACATTTCACATATTCTAAAATGTCCAAGGACTTCTTTATTCAAAAATATTGTCTAAAACTTAATCTTTTTCCAATTAAGAACTTGCATAAAAGTCCACAATGACAGTTCTTATAATAACCTATTTTGTGGGTCTCCTTATTTTTCAGCATCAATAATTTTTTTTATCTTGATAATATTAATGATTATATGGTTAATAAGCTATATTAAAAACTAATAAAGTGTTATTTCACTCTAATTTCAAGGTTCTTATACAAGAACTGAAGGGTGTCAGGTAGGGGTGCTTATGGGTTGGGTTGATCGGGTTAAAGACATTTGAATAACCCAACCCAATGCTTGTGATTTGAAAAAATCTTAGCTCAACTCAACCCAAACCGTACGGGTCGATTTGGTTGATACTTTGGTTCATTAAAATATTCTTCTAATCTTGACTATGTTGTATTCTCTACTCATAATTTACTTTTTCACCATTTGGTACAACTTATCCACTTAAATCTTACGTATATCACATTCAATAATTTTCTCAATTTACATATATATGTTCAACGAATGAGTTATATAGAGATGAGAATAAATTGAAAATATATGTATATGAAGAGGGTACATGATAGTGTAATTGTCTAATGTACATATTAATAGAAACTCAACCAAATTCAAAAATAAAATGATATCGGGTTCGTCGGGTTGAGTTGGGTTCAAATAATAGTAACTCAATATCAACCCAATACCTACTGTTTGAAATTTTTACAACTCGATTAGACATCAGGTTAAGTTATTTCGCTTTGGGTTGGATTGAGTTGATCGAGTTGGTCAGGTTTGAGCACCCCTAGTGTCAGGTTTTTATAAGAACCCTCTCCAATAATAGTGCTTATAAAATTCTACGCTTTTTGTTTATAAAAATCTTCCATTAAAGATACTCTACAATGTTCAAACCATTTTAATCTTTCAATTGCCATATTATTTTTTATAATTGTCGTTTACACATTTAAAATTAGAAAACGATCATCATTATCCTAATCGTATTAATTGAGATGTTATAAAACTTTGAAAAGACGGAGCTATTTCAAATGAATAAATAAACTGTAACTCACGATATTTTTTTCATAGAAAGCTAACAGACAACTTAAAATTTATAAATTATATTTTCAGAACAAAATATGTGAAACACCTTGAATTATACCATGCGCTCCAAACAACTCACTAGTTGAAAAAGAAGTCTTCCTTTTGAAAAGGTCGCACTTCAATTACCCACAAACATAATTTCCAAAAATTGACATATACCTAGAGTTTCCAATAATATATATATATATATATATATATATACATATACAGGGATGTTTTTCTTTTTAACTCAATAATTGGTGTTAACTATGTGAACCAATCTTAACCATTAATCATTGAAATCTATGAATTAAATCATGACATATTTGTAATAAAAGAAAATTTGAACAAAAATAAATATTAGTGAACATGGGTATTTGTGAAAAAGATGATGGCATATAAATGTCTATGAAAAATCTTATTGAACACATATGAACATAATCTTATGAACAACATATGATTAAGAACACATTCTTATGAATATCTTATGGTTATGAACACATTCTTATGAATACCATTAAATACCACAAAAGTAAATTACACATAAAAAATCATAACATCTCATTAAATACTATAAAAGTAAGTTACACATAAAAATTACATATTTAACCTTCATCATGAAATCAAACATTTGAAGTAACCTCTACTAAAGAATGAATTTTATTGGTCCAATAAATTCACAAAGTTAACATCATATTATTGGTTAACAAAAGATCTTACCCCTCTATCTATATATGTGTGTGTATGTAATGATAAAACAACTTAAGTCATATTGTTATTTGATGATTTTTGACTAACGATATATTATGTTATGTTTTAAGTATTTTAAGGTTAGATAACATTAAAGTTGTGATATAAGAATGTTCATAGAACTTTACCCTATGTTATTATTTAATAGATCTTGTTATACCTTATTAACATGATATGTATTGTAGGTATAGTAGAGTTCCGTTATTAATCCAAAATTGATTAGAAACTCTTTGAAATGAATATTTATCATGAATCACACATTCATGATGAAAATGGAAGTGATATCATGGACATAAATGATATATGTATATTAATAAATAATTTTTATAATTTATAAGATATTAAATTAAATATATCTATTTTGAAATCAAAAAAGAAGGCATTGATTTGAAAGATTGTTAGGTATTTGAATTGGTTGTAGATGAGAGTAATTATAACATTACCCCACAATAAGCCAATTGAATGGCAAGTTGTATGTTATAGTGGAAATCCTTGTGAAAAATTAGGTTGCAATGATGATGATAAGATAAACATAATACGTGTGGCTCCTTCAAATCCTTTCCTGGTACAACAACATTGTACTTCTTACCTCCATTATTGTCTTTTCCCCCTTCTAATCCCATCATTATCAGTTTCATGTGGATTAGTTTATAAGAATTTATTTTTTTTAACTAATTACCGTATTTATAACGAAGCTCAAATGCTCACTTAACTGTTCGACATGTAACGAAAATATGTATAGCATATTTATATTAATATAAAAAGATGTAGTTTTTAAGAATTCACTAAAGTTACGTTTTATTTATGATAGATGACAAAAAGTTACCCACTCTAGCTTTGTAGGTGGGTTGGTTCCAATTTCAATCCACTAGGACTTTATTTCAATGGTTTTTCAGTTTTAATGGATTGCAAAGGAAAACCGGCTACATTATTTTATGGTGTATGATATTTCATGTAAACTCATTTAGTTTGGTTGTTATTGCTGTTGCTGTAAAATAAGAGGTGAATCAAATACTTTTGGTTGATTGTATCTGACTGTATTTATTTTTTATAATAAATCGTATATGATTAAAAACACATGGAAATGAGTGTAATCATATATAATATTGAGGTTTCTTGTAAAATGTTTAACTTTTCGTATGATCCTTCCTATATATATATATATTGAGTATGCAATTAAAAAAGAAGAATGATATTTTCTTTTATCGGGTATTTCATATAAATACTATAAAAAATTGGCGTCGGTTCTATTTAGTTAGATACAAAAGAAAAAATATTTGTCAATCATATTATTAATAGAATCATACAACTTCAATCATGAATGGTTGTTGAAATAATTAACATCTGTGTTGGACACATTCTTCTTCATCTCCTCAATTAATTTTGTTCAAATTAACCAAAAAAAAAAAAAACCAAGTGTCGTTTATTAAGCGTTTATGTTCACTTACCTTATCGGATAAACAATGACACTGAATGAGAATCTTATCCAATAAAAGAATCGATAATCTTACTTTATAAGTGAGAGAGAAAACTCTTACCCGATTAGCGTTTACATGATAGATGACGTTTAATAATAATCCATTTTGATACCAAAAAAAAATGATATATGATAAAATAAGTGATCGATGATAACTACGGCAAATGTTACCCATTAAGCGTTTAGTAAACCGTAGGTAATAAGAAAATGTAAATCATGGTTTATAATTTAATTTTGAAACAGGCTCTCCTCAGAAGTCAGAACTAGCGTCATGTTTTTGTTGCGAGATTGGATTTGGAATCATAATTTTGATTAATGTTTGGGCCTTTAATGGGCTTCATTCCGTGTTCCATTTTTGAAGTTTGAACTTCTGAACCACAGATTTTCCCTCTCGTGCTCCTTCGCCTAGACTTGGACTGGACACCAGGTGTTTGTGAAAATGCCAGTGAAAAATTCCGACAAGGACTCGACGCCAGCCGTAACCCTCCGCCGATCTCCAAGAATTCTCCAAATTAAGCTCTCTGATCCAGAAGACCCTAGAACCCCTAAGCCACAACAACAACGGAGGACCCGGGCCCCTTCCTCAGCGACACCTCTGACCTTGACGGCAAAGAGGAATGTTTCTCCTCGAAGGAGAAGCCATAGATCTAAGTCAAAAGAATGTTTGCAGAAACTTGATGGATCTTGTAAGTCCAGACAATCCGATAATTCGAAAACTGAGTCGAGAAGATCTACAAGACTGAATCCTTGTGCCGATGCGTGCAACGCGGAAAATTCACGTAGTTCAAGTCGGAGAAACGGTAAGCATTCTATGTTTCCCTTTTCGTTTATTTTTGTTGGCAATGGCACAATCAATTAGTTATTCTATTTGTCATCTTGATCTGCGTGGTTCTAGGAGTTTTAATCGAGACTAACCCTGGTTCACTAAAGTGTAATGACTTGGTTCACCATGCTTGCCTTAGGATTTTACAACCCTCCCCTTTTTTTCCTCTCGTTCCATCATAAAAAGGTACTGCTTCATTCTTGAGGCCAAACCTGGTTCTCCCCTTCCTCAAAATTGATATGGGTTGTTATCTAACACCACCATATTTCCAATGTAGTTATTGTTGAGTTTAACATGGAGATGGACCATCAAGTTTTATATGAAGTAATGGGGAATCTATCCTTTTGACCTTGAAAACGGAACCATTTATTTCTTTCCTGCATTAAGTTAATCCCCATTTTTATATCATTTTCGGTGCTAGTAATTTGAGATATATCTTGTAGGGCAATTGGAGAGGCGAGTAACCCGTAGTTCTTGTTGTAGAGATGTAGATAAAAATGCTGAGAAGACTAGTGGCTTTACTGGAAATTTGGGCAATGTTTGTTCATCAGGTGAACAGATAACTGAAGAAGGTGTGGATATACCTACACCATTGAAATGTAAGTCGCTAAAGAACAAAGTGGACCAATACAAGAAAAGTTGTGATAATAATTCTGATCAAATTGAAGTGTTAGCATCGGATGACGATACATATGAAGGGATTTTATCAATCAAGCCAGTTTTGGATGAAGAATTGTCCGAAAAAGGTGTGGCTAAAAGCACAAATGGAATTGCAGTTGCCACAGCTGCTGTAGTGCATGAAAGTCCAATGGAGGGGAGATATGTTAACAAAATGAGAAAGAATGTCGCGGTTAAAAGAACAAGAAATCAGTTTGAGAATATGGTAGGGGCCACTCATGGTTGGACCAAGGATCAAGAATTGGCATTGGAAAGAGCTTACCTAGAAGCGAAGCCCACTCCACACTTCTGGAAGAAGGTTTCTAGGCTGGTAATTCACTACTCACCATAAAACTTCATGTTATGCATATTTGATGATGTCAATTATCTCTGAAATGTTGTGCATGATATCACAACACTGTGACCCTTCTATATTTTAGCTATTGCTTAGATGAACATTACATTTTTTTCATTATGCCGACTTTTAGCAGGAAACCAGTCAAAATATAGAGAACGTTGGTTCTCCTTGTTGTATATCTATATAACGGAGTGTATTTCAGGTGCCTGGAAAATCTGCACAGGAATGTTTTGACAAAATACATGGTAGTCATTTAACACCTCCCCAACCACGTCCACGATCTAGGCCTCGAGTATCAGATTCACAGAACCCTTCTTTTACTGCAAGTAAATTGCTCAACTCTTCAAGTCCTACGGCTAAAAGGCCTAGACACCGTAGACAGAAGAGTCATGTAGTCCAGAGAAATGTTAGGCACATGTTACAGAAACAGCATAAAGTGGAACAAGATTCCGAAGCAGACCTGTTCTCAGTTCTCGAGCCGACATTCACCCAATCTTTAAATTCTTATGTGATGCTTACAACACCTGATTGCAATCAAGAGATGGGTGAAATGCTTGGAAGATGTCAGGAAAGATCTTCTACAGTTCATAAAAAGAGTCTTTCAAGGCTTGGTACCAGAACAACTCTCATGAGCCCTCCTGTTCTAAAGCAGGTAAAAAACATAGCATTGCATGAGAAATACATTGACCAGTTACACTGTAGAGAAGCTAACAGGAACGCAGCATGTGCAAAGGCCGAAAAGCTCCATCAAAGCAAATTGATGGAACAGGAGAGCTCTGCCCAGAGAAAGGATGCAATTAGAGCTGCAAAAAACGCCCTGGTCTTTGATGCCAGAGATGCTATTAATGAGTTCCAACATCATCAGGCTATGGCATTGAGCTTTGACGATGAGAATGGTGCTGATGTTGACGAGGAGAACGGTGAAGCTTTCATGTAGTGTTGATGTACAGATCAGCTCTCTGAGAGCTGTTGCCAGCTTGCGGCAAATTTGCAAGTGAGTTCTTGTTTAGCATTTCCTAATTTCTGAAACAAGTATAAAAACTGTGCGTTCTCCAGTTGAATTCTGAATTGTTACTTACCCATGATAGTGTTATTGTTTAGGCAATAGGTATGAATACATCTACTCATTGTATTGATGAAACGAATATTAGATCAGGCTTATGAAGCACACTGAAAATGTTACCAACTAATCACATGCAGGTTGATTGATAAAATATTTGTTACAATAGTTGTAACGGATACATGGATATATGTTACAGAATATTAAGAAGCAAATCTTGTGGTTATCCTGCCCTTATGTGTAGCTAAGTAAACCACATACAACTACTGGAAGGGTTTATACACCATTTATAGAACAGATAACACACTTATTTGATGATGCAAACTCCCCCTTATGCCTCAGCTGCAACTTGCATCGGTTGTTCATCATTGCAAGGACCTCCAATGTTACTTTTTGTCATATTCTCATAGCCACCACTGCTCACCATATTTCCACAACCACTGCCACATCCCCCACCACAACCACCACCACTTTTCACCATATTCCCACAACCACCACCACATCCACCACCACAGCCACCACTTTTCACCATATTCCCACAACCACCTCCACATCCCCCGCCACATCCACCACCACAGCCACCACTTTTCACCATATTCCCACAACCACCTCCACATCCCCCGCCACAACCACCTCCACATCCCCCACCACAACCACCACTGTCGACCATATTCCCACAACCACCTCCACATCCCCCACCACTCTTCACCATATTCCCACATCCACTACCGCATCCACCTCCACAACCGCCGATTGCTAATTTGTCTAGAATCACTGTAGTCACTTTAGCAACTTCACCATCAAAATCAACTCCCTCAGCCATAAATTTCTTCTCCTTCAATGTTTCACCACCCTTAGTTAGACCATCATATTCTTCCATTCTCAAAATGTCGTACACTATGAAAGCTGAAATGATTCCTGGTAACGCAAACCATGATTCTTGCAACTGTCAAAATGGAGAAAAACGTACCAGTAAATGTAAATCTATGTTTGTGTCAGCCAGGTAAAAACTTCCAAATAGATTTTGAATGACAAGATAAAGGTACCGTCAAAAGCCCAGATTTGACATCAATTAATGCTACTGGTCTTCCATAAGGGTACTCTGCAGACAACTCAACTGCTGTCATAAAATTGTGTTTTGGTGTTCGCTTGTCATGGTGCTTGAGTTCATAATCCAGCCTTCTCCCAGGAACCAGTTTAACCTAAATCATCATCACCATGTATTCATTACTGGTGTCCAAATGGAGGGACGCACTCAACAAAGACAGTTTTACTATTATGTTGTTGGATATTTTCCATGAATAAGACTGATCTAATCAAGACTCCAAAGTAATGCAGTGTGCAACAGAAACTAGTGTACAAGCAAGCGATTCTCACCGTCTGAGGACCAGTGAGCAGGAGGTGGGCATTTCCGTCATTGCTATTCTGAAGCTTAAGGGACCATAGAGAATCCATCAAAGACCACTCTGACCCAAGAAACTGGCCAAAAACAAGTGTTTCACCTGCTCTTGTAATACCAATTAGCTCTTTCCTTAATTTGTCATCCACCCCTTTTGTTCTTTTGTTCTCCCTGTGTAGCAAGGCAGCAATCAAAGCAATATAAAACATCTTTCTAGTCAACAACTTGCTCAAGCCTCAACAGGTTAGAAGTTTAGTCTAGAAAACATGGATACCTCATTTGAAGGCTAAGGATTTCGTTGCCAGTTTCATCTGTAACCTGTGCCCAGCTCTTGTCAAACTGCACCTTAGCAGGAAGTTGGGAAATGCATGAAATTTTTGAAAAAGGGGGAGTACTTGCTATCTGAAGCACATGTGGTCCTGGGATTGGCACAGTACATGAGGCTGCTACTCTTAGACGAATAGGCTCAGAATTGATAGTGCCAGGAGTAGGAACCAAATCCAACCATTTTTCCACAGCGAGATTAGGGATGGGGTGAAAAAAATCTTCCAAAGAGAAAAAACAGTGACCCAGAGTTTTGGTTGATTTGGATAGTGGTGAGATGGAAGGGGAATCAGAGACAAGTTCAAATAAAAGATCTCCAGTAGGTTGGCATTGGAATGTAGCAACCTGCTTCTGCCCAGATTCGGATTGGATATTAAGTTTCCTCTTGACATTGAAGATTCCATCAGACTTTGCCTTACTGAAAAAGACACCAACTCTTCCCTTGTGTGTCTCTGGTAAGTTTTTGGTTTCTACAAACTCCAAAACTACCTGCAGCAACACAGTTCAGTTATAACTTGATTAATTTAAGTCACAAGCATCTGTATAGGATATTGAATAAGAATAGCAGCAAGCTTAATCTTCAAATAGAGATGAAAAGGAAGTCAAAACATCAAACATCATCAAGAAAGTACCTCAATGACATTTGCTTCAGGAAGATCGATCAATCTCTGAAACCTATTAGTCGAATGAACCTTCTTGGCCGCAACATTTGGTATGAAAGGAGTGGTAGTGAGAGGAGAAGGTGCACTGCCTCTATACATTGCTCCTGCCCTCCAATACCTTGAACCAAATGTCTCCTCCCATTGTTTGGTAGTTGCAGAAAATCCAACATCTAGTTTCTGACCTTTTCCCCTGGCTTGGTCTGTGTCATCATGTTCCAGGATCTTTCCAAGTAATTCTACCAAGTCCTTGCTGTAGGAAGCAGGATGTAACTGGTGTGTATGCCAGATTAGGTCAATGTCATAAGTCGGAACGCAAAAACGTCTTACGGATTGCTCCATGTTTGTCTTGATTAGATGCAAAAAACCTTTGTATCTGGCTATGGCTGCTTCAAGAAAGTGGTCGTTGTTCACATGGGGTCTGGAAACCTATCACACCAAGCAGGGTTTAAGTTATAGAACTCAAAGGAAGTATGAAAATATAGACTCTTGGTATGTGCTTCCATTCTCCAAGTAGGATTCATAACAAACCTGTTATTTGCATTATGCTTGAGAATGAATAAAAGAGCTTCGAAGAGAATAGAATACTAAATCATGCATAGGCAGCTTAAGTGGAAAGCATGGCAGGAAATGGTGGGTTTTAAGGTTACCTGGTAAAAGAACGGGCCCTGTCGTTCACTGGCTAAAACAAGATTGTATCTGGTACGACTTTTAGTTCCATAGACCTTTTCCAAAACTTCCTTTGAAAGTGCCAATTCAATGTCATAGGGCTCATTGGGATACAGTTTGTTCCATATTTCTTCTGTTTCTTTTCTTGATATTCCTTGAACAGAAGATGCAACATTACGGTTGTCAAGAATCCTTCCATAAAGTTCTTCACAATCGGATTTGTATCTAACCTGAGAAAGAGATCAAGAACAATGTATCTTTAGAAACAACATTGATCCAAGGGAGCAAAACTTTTGCCCCCTTGCCCCTCCCATTAACACAAACCATGGGATGGGATTCAAACTTGATAGTTGCAGGATATAGAAATCTGAAGCACTTAGAAATACTCCACGAAGCACAAGTATCGAAACTAGTTGAGTACAGAGACATACCGGGTTGAGCCTATGGCAATGCCAAACCCATTCACAATCAAGAGGAACAACCAAAGGTCCTTGTGTAACCTTAGACTTGGAATGTTTAGCAAGCAAGGGAAGCCAGCAAGCATTATACCTGAAATCGAGTTTCACAGGATTGTGATGATTTCCAATAGAGAATTTGGAAGCAATTAGATACCCTCACCGAATGGTAATAAGCACTTGAAGCAAAAACCATTAGCAAGCTTCAAGAATGGAGAAAAGTTAACGGAAAAGGTAGCAAGAATAAAACTGTGCATGTGCACTCTGTTTTCGCACTTTCAAAAGTAACCTCTCTGAATTCTCTCTAAAAAGGCCCTAATATATATACACACACACACACACATATTTGATGGTCTTTGTCTAGCTAACATGACATGGCCCTCAAACAGACATATACCTGTAGATGGCCCAGTGCAAAGGGCGAGCTTGATAAAGCCAACGTTTCCTGTCAACAGCAGCAAGAAATTGCAGGTGACGCTTAGCAGCGGCCACAAGATCTTCACTTATCACAATATCTTGTGCTGCATTCCATTCTGATCTCTGTTCCTGTTCCGTATCCATTTCAATTCTCACCTACAAAACAATCCAATTCTAGCAATCAGAACATCCACCACCAATTGAAATCTCATCGCCTTTTATCCTCTCTCTCTCTCTATATATATATATATATATCTATATCTATATATACATATATTGTCAGCAATATTTGAATGAAACTGAACTCAAGTATAAATAAAAATCTTAAATATATGAAAAGTAATGAGCTGAGGGGGGTTACCTGAACAAGTGTCTGTATATTGATGTCGACGATCACCGGCGACTGCCAAACCTTTTAGATCGTTTGATTGTTTGCCATCCGTTTCCAACATTTTTATAGGCAACCAACATTACCCTTTCTTTTAAATTACACTAATTGTCAAACATAATTATTGAATTTTGAAAACCAATACAGTAACTAATCAAAAAATATTAATCATGATAATTTTATATTAAAAATATAAACATTAAATAAACGTATTGCTTGCTTTTAGTCTTAGAAGGTCTTTCAGTGATTATAAAATGATCAATTGTGTTTGGTTTTTCCTTTAAGAAAAGTAAATTGCATAAATCTTATATTTCTATGATTTTCCTCCCTTTTTTAGTTTGCGTGTGGTTTTAGAATTAATTATGTTTCAACGGATAAATATCTTAATTTACTTCTTATACAAGGGTATTTTAGTCTCTCTTTTTTTTTCTTTTAAGGTTTTTGTATTGAGTTTATTTCGAAGAAATGTCATCTTTTATGGTTCACGTCTTCCCATCTGCTTTTAGAGGGGTGTTCAAATATAACTCCTTTAAATCCTATCAAAAAAAAAAATATAACTCCTTTAAATTATACGACCGAAGCAACCCGTTTATTAACCTTTCATTTTATTCTTATTATTATTTTTTAATTAAGGGTAGTTACAACCGATTAAATGGTAACTGTTTATGATTAAATGAACGCTCTTGATTTTGTTATAAGGGTTGTAGGAAGATAAATTGTTACATAATAACCCACCTCCTCACTTTTGAGCTCCGAATAGCATAGTTCTATTTGGTTCTTTATTTCTTGAACAATTTGTTAAAAATTATAATGTGTTGTTTGCTTCGTGAAATCCATGAAATTTTAACGGAATTGAAATAATAAATTCATTTGTTTGGTTCACAAACTGAAATGAACGAGATCGTTTAACTTTCTTTGAATTCCATAGATTAATAATTTCAATATATCTTGGTAAAAATGAATGATTCGGAATTCATCCCTTGTTAAATGTAACATATTTTATAATTTGGTTTCAACAAAACAAAAATAACATCTACATCTAATTTAACCAAAACCATCCACCCCTCACACACCCCACCTTGCCCCACTCATCACCACAGTACTATTGTTCGCGGCCACCCACCTCTACCTTCGCTACTTTCACTTTCATGCCTCCACCCCTATCCCCGCTCTTGTCACTTTCACGCCCGCTACTGACCACTAATACCATCATGTCACTAATGTTGTCATCACAACTGCCACTTCCACCCACCCCATGTCATGCCATTGAAGAAGAAGAAGAAGAAGAAGACCACCAAGTCACTATTGTCATCGTTACAACCACCACCCATCATCGACACCGGCAAGACACTACCATCTTCACCTCCATCCCCACCTATTAATACTATTATTGTATTTTATTATTATCTATCAAATTACATTATGCAAACTAAACGTCCTTAAAAATAGATTTATAAGAAAACAAAATCAAAACCAGAGTTTTAGTAAACCACGAGGTTTTTATAATTTACCCTTTTGGATATTATATAAGATATAAAATAAAAATTAGTATATATAAAGTTACCGTGCAAAAGTCATATAACAAGTATCGATATTTGACGATGATATGATATCGTTTTTTGGATGATGAGATATCATCCATATGCAAATTTAATTATTAGTTGACAACGACGCATTACCAACCATCTCTCTTTAATCAATTGTTTATTTAATTTTAAATAATATTTTAATTATATATTTTTAAATGAAATAATACATTCAACTGTTTCTGTTCAACTTATTTCAGTTAAGTAATTGGTTTTAAAAATGTGTTTCATCGAATGATTAAGTGCCAAGTGGCTTCACCATTTTACTCGTGAAAATAATGCAATCAAAATTATCATAAAACTACAAACTCAAATGTTTAATTAGAAACTATAATTACATTTCATTTATTTCCATTTTTTTTTAACCTATATATCCAACCTGCTATATGAAACTACTAATTGCGGAACGACCACCTGTTTTGCAGGTAGCCCGGAGTCACTGTATTTGAACCTTCGTGGTCACAAGAAGATTTTTTTTATTCATACTTGAATTCAAAACTAAGACCTTCAAGGACTTTTGACATTTGCAGCCCAAGTTTAAACCAATCAAACAATACACTTGTAGTTCATCTTTTTATAACCAATAGAAGTAAAAATGATCATAGAAGTACAAACTAGAAGTACAAATGATCATAGAAGTACAAGTTATCATAGAAGTGATGTACAACGATAGCAACAAGGAGCAAACCATTAAAATAAAATAAAAGGTAAAATACATAAAATAATAATCTACTTTTATAAAAAAAAATTATTATAACATTGTAATTCCAATTTTTTTTATTACATCATTATACTTTTAAACTATTTTTATTAGAACATTGTACTTTAAAAAATTTATCCATTATAGTATTGGGTAACCTTTTGATTTAAATTTACCCATTTATATCATGTTTTCATGCCACCTCATTGTTCATATAGATTGTCCACATGTACTATAGTGATGTGAATTTCTTTTTACAACATTGTACTTTCAAAATTATTTTATTATAGCATCTACTAGTTCTTATTAAACAATGTACTTTTAATTTTAATATTGATATTTTATATGTTATTTAATAAATATATTAAATGAATTAAAAAATTCTAAATTATTCATTAATATACCAATAAAACTA